GCCACTCTCAGTTTTAGATTTGTTTCAAGTCCACTATTATCACAAAAAGGAAAAATTTAAATAAAAATAAATTGCACTCAATATACAAAAAGAAGGGAACAGAAAATTATTTTTTTTATTTTTATTCATAAAATTATTTGTTTCATTAATTTTTAGAAATGGAAAGGATAAAAAAATTGACAAAAAACATTTTTATACAAAAGAGATAAAGAAGTTGAACTTCTGTTCTGTTTTGACATAATTCCCTAAAAAGAATTACCTAGTGGCTCAAAATAGTAGGAACGGTGTATGGTTATGATCACTTAGTATCTCTAGCTAATCTCAAAAGTTAAATTTCTACAAGGAAGACACTTTGAAAGTAGTGATCGAATTTAAAGTTGTTACTACGACCAAGTGTGGCAAAACCGGTTATGTTACAACGCGGAGGCGACGAAAGTCATTTCAGCTCTGGATTGTGATCAGAATCACAATTCGAGGCGGTGATGAACGAATACAATGAAAAATCTAGAAATGAGTGGCGATTGTGTTTATGGTGACTCATGCGATGTCGAAAGAAAAAAAATGATCGAGGATAGTCCAATTACAAGGAAACATAGGAGGAATTCGAGATCGAAGCACTACATATAGATTTGAAATTCCTCAAAGGAGGTTACGTTCGACTCAATCAAGCGATAAAGGAGTCCGATGAAAGGTTCGAGGCGGTTAACCATCAGCTACAATCAATCCTTCGAATTCTTGAGAATCTGGAGCAGCAGAACGCGTATCAACAGTGTTCAAGGCCAAGATCTTCGATGAATCAGATATACACTTCTAATTCGGAGCGAAACCAGGAAAAACGAGTGCTAGGTCATAGATCTGAGAATTTGTATGCAGCAACAAGAGATTCTATGTTATAGAAGATACAAATGTCAGTGTTCTCGCTGGGAAATGGCCTTATGTGTGGATAACAAAGGTGGAGAGATGGTTTAACATTGGAAGATATGTCGATGAGGAGAAGCTGGAGCTGGTGGGACTGACTTTGGAAGGGAAAGTAAAGAATTGGTTTGGTTGGGAACTGAAGAGGAAAGGTTTTCAGAATTGGGAATGGTTTAAAGATAAGCTGGTACTAGATTTTCTGAATCGCTCGAAGATTAACCAACAATACGCTTATTGTCCATTAAGAAAACATGTTCAATTGGCGATTATGTCTCAGAATTTGAAGAGCTATCGGAGTTGGTACCTAGTTTGGATGGTCATCACTTGATAAAGATAGTTACAAGGGTTTGACAAATGAAATAAAAGTAGCTTTAGGATTTGTATGAAGAAACCAATTGGTTTGGAGAATCACATTCGTATGAAGAAACCAATTGGTATGGAGAATCACATTGCAGCAGTGTTAAAAATTGAATCAAGTGCCTTTTGTCGTGTGGTGGGAGAGTCAAAAAGAAGTGATTCAGGGGGTAAGAAGAGTTCTTACTCATATCCATTCAAGACTACATCAACCTATAATGCATCCAGAACACAATTGGAAGGAGAGGGGAAGCATACCAGTACCAGTACGAAGCTTAAATGGACAAACAACAGAATGATCATTTGTATAATATTGTTTGGATTTATGCTTTAACTAATATAGATGTATCATAACGAACTATATAAATAATATTTTTAACGTCAAGGTAAACAGTCCTAGGATATTCATAATTTTATGTAAATATTATTCATCCAATAAATATATTTTAACTGGATAAAAATTTTGAAATTAAAAGTTTGACACACCTTAAAAGGAATGTTATTAAATTAATTATAACACATACTTAATTTCAGTAATAATATTTTTTAAAAATCAGTTTTCTGCGTATTGCGCTCATATTAATTCATACACTCTTCAATTACGTAAATATATGATTAAGAAGAATTGATTTTTTTGTTTTTAATTAATAACCTCTTATTATGAGCATTTTTAGAAATTTAAAAAATATTTAAAATCGTTCAAAAATATTCTTGTTTCTTATGAATCATTCTTAAGTAATTAACATTTCAAATAATAAATAATAATTATTATTAATCAATTAGGACGGATTTAATAAATATTTATTTATTAGATACATTGGTTATCTTCTTCAAAATAATTAATTATACGCATGTTTAAGAAAAAAAAGAAATAATATAGTTTTTTATTTACTAAATAATTATTAACATAGATAAATATATTTAAATTTTATTTTAAAATAACTGAAATTTTAACATTTAATTTTAAAATATAAATTATTAAGGGCATACATTGAGATCTTTGTTGACTCGTCTATGAATGTTGTAATTATCATCCCACCAAGTGTTTTAACACTTCTCCTAAGGATTCATTAAGGAGATTCTCATTTTGTCCACTTATAAAATATCGGAAGCAGAGAAGCATTATAGAGTTGCAAAGCGTCTCAGATGAAAGCTCTAATGCTCTTTGGCTCAGTGAATGGCATATTTATGAGTGAATATGCCTCACATATCTTCCTAATATTGTGTTCAGATTCCAATAAAACTCATTTGCTTCCCTGTATCTTGAAGAGGAGTTCTCGCTGAATTAATTTCCTTAAACGATGGATTAATCTGCAACATCATTATGATTAGCTCCAATACTCTATAACCTCTTACCCTCTTGCAGCTTTGTAACGATCGTCGTAAAGATGTGTTCTTATGCAGCCTTGTAACGACTGTCGTGGATCCCATGATCCCATGATTAAACATGGTCTATGGATTGAAGCTTATATGGAGGATGCTATCAGGGAATTATCTTTGGGGACAATGGGTCAGATTTGAATTACTGAAAGGGAAGAATTTCTGGGAAGTTAGTTCAAAAACGTTAGTGGGGTCTTGGATGTGGCGTAAGATGTTGAAACTTCGAGGTGGGGCTAAGTTATTTTTTTTTTATGAAAGATCTGGGAAATGGGAGACATACCTCCTTCTGGTTTGATAAGTGGTCTGAAAGGGGTGTGTTGTTTGATGTGTTGGGTGATAGAGGTATCATCGATATGGGAGTGAGAAAGGATGCAACTGTGTAGGAAGCAGTCTTAAGTATGAGAAGGAGAAGACATTGTAGGGGTCTACTTAATGACATTGAAGCTGAGTTAATCATTGTTGGGAGTAATCTTAATTCTGTGAAAGAAGATGCTTGTGTATGGAAAAGGAGGTCTGGTTTCACGAAGAAATTCTCAACGTATGATACTTGGATGTTGTTAAGAGTAAGCAAAGCGCATTGCACATGGGCTCGTGGTATTTGGTTCTCCCAAGCGATGGCTTGGTTGTCGATGTTGAATAGATTGTCAACGATGGATAGAGTTGCAAAGTGGAGCCAAGGTTTGGATGCAACTTGTGTTCTCTGTAAAAAAGCTCTGGAGACGAGGGACCATCTATTTTTTGAGTGCTCTTATACTACTAAAGTTTGGGAGTTCATCTCAAAAGGTATGCTGGGAAAATCATACACAAATGTCTGGTCTGAGATTGCGATTATTATTTCTGATGAGTCTAGAGAAAAGAAGAGTGTGTTCTGCATAAGATATGCATTTCAGGCTGTGCTTTATGCAGTATGGAGGGAAAGGAATAAGCTGAAACATGGTGATAAGCTGTTACCGTTGTCAGTGTTAAAGAAAATGATCGACAAGGGCATACGAAACAGGGTCAGTTTGATAAGAGCTAAAGGAGTTAAGGGTATGGAGGAGCTAATGCAACTTTGGTTTCAAACTAGAATGTAAATAGGCTTTTTACATAGAAAGAAACAAGTATGCACTTGATGTAATAAGGCTTTTTGATGAATAAATTTAACATTCATTCAAAAAAAAAACATCTTCAAAATATTAGTAAGTCCATCTTTTCCAGTGTTTTTCTTGGAACCTTCAAACACGACTTACTTGAGCGTGATGCTGGATTTTAATTGCAAAGCATAGAATCTAGTCAATAGAAAAAAGGAAATCCGCTACGCCAACGCTCTGCAAGCTCTTGTTCTTGAAAAGTCCAGCTGCAACATGAACGAATGCTTTGTCTTTAAGCCTAGGATTCTAGAACCTCACTTCTCTAAGAGGTTTGTTCTGTTCAAGAACCCATCAGAACTCCTTCGGCAACAGCAAATTCATCATTTTGCACGTCATGTCGAGAGACGTCAAGAGCCATAAATGTCGATCTAGTAAGTCCTTAGAGTGTTGCTCTCAGTCAAGATTGTGTCCCTTATGTGATTTTCACTCACATGTGAACCTCTGTTTCCCTGTTTATATCCAAAATGGCAGATCAATGGCATCGCACTGAGGGGACTGGAGTCGAATATGCTAAAAAAAATTGTTTAAAATAACTTACCCATCTCTTAGTGGCTAACACAAAATCTAAAAAAAAAGTCTTAAATTTGCTCTCAATGTATATTGTTGCAGAACCTGTACCAGCTCTAGCATGAAAAATGATTGAAACGATCAGTACACCAGCTTGATTCAATTTTGATAGCTATGAAATCTCAGAGCTTAATCTGGAGAAGAAAAAAAATTCCAAAGAAGCATTTAGGATTCAAACATTTTTTTATAACATACATATCCAACAATATTTTTTTTTTCGTACCTGGGATAAGTAGAATCATGAGACTCATGGTGGAACTTGAGAAGTAGCTGCAACAACAAAAAGGAACATCTTGTAAGTATCCATACTTGATACCTCTCCATACTAAATCTTTGATGACTTGAGCCCTATTCTGGACTGTATCTAATTCTTCAGCTAGAAAATTATCAATGATCCTGCCATATAATTCAGAGGCTCAGTCTTAGTTCTGAAACTATACAAATTTCTTATTAACTTGAGGTAGCTTCTTTCATCATACTATTGAGCTTCATCACACACACACCAAACGAGTATAAAAATTATATAGAGTAGATTCAAATCCTCTCAGTGAAGGTGTTGCATGTAAAACGAAAGAAGCTTTAAGCTTATAATGTAAGCAAACTCTAAAATCTGAATTATCAAATCTCATAAAAGGTTTCTACTGATGACCATATACCTTGGTGCCTCATTTGTTTTATGAAGGATATTGTAGTGTATAGTTGTGACCTATAGCTCTTGGTGCGTTGCATATATGTGATCTAGAGAAAACTACCAAAAACACATCTCCTTGATCTCCCCTGCCAAATATGTTCTTGTGTATATGGCTCATGTGTGGAATGCTTTATATTCATGTAAATTTCTAAACATGTCAATATATAGTTCACGCAGAAACATGATAGGTTTTACTTATTCTCACATGATCAGGCGTTGGTTAATGAGTTCTTGAGCTTTATTTTCCATGATTGCAGCAAGTTAGAAACGTACAGACAAAGCATAACTGATGAATAACTTTGTCTTGATAGGCATATCAAATTCTTCCAAAACTTGAGTAAATGCAGGAAAAGTATCATCGCAACTGAGAGTTTGTATGGAGATCTAAATTCTCACTTGTATTGAGGCTCATTCTGTCTCTAAAATATAATTTTACCTCAACCAAACCGGTTAGAAACGTAGATGGTTTCATCCCAGAATCCTCCATTACATGCCTCTTCTTCCATTTCAGTGCTTATATAAAAATACAGTAGTTACCTGTTCTCATTAGCATTATTTTCCAAGGTAATCTAAGCAAAAATAGAATACCTTCAGAAACTCAAAAGCAAGAGATATATAGTCATGAGACAAACACCCAGATTTGGTTCGCTGACATCTCTTTGTCTCTCTTGTCCTTCCTTGTCAAAAGCCCACGTACCTTTACGAATAGTGAATGACAACCAATCTCTGGAGATCAGATAACATAAAGCAAGTCCAGATCATCTGAAATAGAAAATATCATAAACAATAACAAAATTATGTGTATTGTTTCCTGGATTCGATCATTTCTAAACTTATTTAAGCAGATCTGACCTGGCTCATAAATCCCCTAAAACAAGAAGATATATAAAAAAAGCTCCATCTTACTTGCTTGTTCCATACCTCATCCGCTCTCTCGGTACTCGTCCCATATTTTGTTGTACTTTCTGCTTCTTCCATCTCGTGCTCGTTATCACTTTCTCTGTGGCTCTTCATTGCGACCTCTCCATCGCTTTTCATCTTGACTTCTCTGTCGCTCTTCAGCTTGATCTCTCTGTCACTCTTCATGTTCATCACTCCCGTACTTGCTTTCTATCTCATTCTCTCTGCCTGACACCACTACTCAAGTTATAGGAAAGACTTTCACTTTGAGTATCTATGTTGAAAAGGAGCACATGGCTTATGGAAGTGAGATTTACAAGGTTGGTAGAGTATTTAATGAGAGAATGGAATGCTTAGCCAATGGATTCACTCAAAGAGAATCTTTATTAGAAAAGGGTTTTACATTTACTAGTGGTGAAGAGGTATTGTCTACACCATGTGGCTAGGGGATTGATTATTGAATCTGCTACAGAATTTTGAACGGATCGTTTTATGAAGAACATATGAAATTATCATGTCCAAATGCCTTTGACTGAATTTTCTATCCCGTATGTATTATTAAGCATTATTTCCAATTCCATTTTTCCATCAGCTTGATCCTAATCACTTGCCTGACGCCATTACTCAAGTTATAGGAAAGACTTTGGCTTTAACTGGTGACCAAAAGAATGTGTGGGAATAGTTAATTCTTCTTTATTCCTTAAATTTGACACCATTTATAAGGAATCATAATAGTTAATTCCTCTTCATTCCTTAAATTTGACACCATTTATAAGGAATAATTTTTCTTCGATATTCCTTCTCATTCCTTTTAATTTAAGGAATCAAAGAACAAAATCATTCCTTATCAAATCCGGGGAGGAACAACATGGAACAAGTGTTCCTATTATTTTGTTCCTCTTTATTCCTTTCCTCGTTGTTCCTATTATTCCTTTGGTGGTCACCAGTCAAAGCCTTTTACTTTGACTTTGAGTGTCTATGTTGAAAATGAGCACATTGCTTATGGAGCTGAGATTTACAAGGTTGGTAGGGTATTTAAAGAGAGAACGGAATGCTTAGCCAATGGATTCACTTAAACAGAATCTTTCTCAGAAAAGGGTTTTACATTTACCAGTGGTGAAGAGGTATTGTCTACAAAATGTGGCTAGGGGATTGATTACTAAATCTGCTACAGAATTTTGAACGGATCATTTGATGAAGAACATATGAAAACCTACCTTATCATGTCCAAATGCCTTTGAGTGAATTTTCTACCCCGTATGTATTATTAAGCATTATTTGCAATTCCAATTTTCCATCAGCTTGAAGATCCTAATTACTTGCCTGACGCCATTACTCAAGTTATAGGAAAGACTTTCACTTTGAGTGTCTATGTTGAAAAGGAGCACATTGCTTATGGAGCTGAGATTTACAAGGTTGGTAGGGTATTTAAAGAGAGAATGGAATGCTTAGCCAATAGATTCATTCAAACAGAATCTTTCTCAGAAAAGGGTTTTACATTTACTAGTGGTGAAGAGGTATTGTTTACACCATCCATATTTACAAATGGAATACATAAACAATGCTTAGTGTATTTTTATAATGTCGTATAATGTTTAACATCTCACTGATGTTCAAGATAACAGTGAGGTAACATCTACGCCATTCACTAAGCGCAATGACTGTTTGAGTGGTGCACCTGACATATCTTCAACAACTAAGAAAGTTTGCTTAAAACAAATTATGTTTGGAGATGATGAAGAATATGAAGTGTCAGTCTTATTTTGAGATAATTTTGAACTTTTGGTTATTATATTTATGACTTTTCGGAATAAATGTTTGTTTTGAAATTTTATGAATTTAATAATCTTGAGCAAATGCTTAGTTTACATTTTTTATTATATATTTATTATTTTTATATTATTTAATATGGTCATTTCTTTGATTAATTTAAAATATTTAATAAACCAGAAAGCCCAACATATCATCGTTGGGCTTCTGTTACGAATATACAAATCTATTATGGCTCACATAAAATATACGTGAATAAAATTCACTGAAACAACATATGTCTATAAAATTGTTTTATATATAACACTCTTCATTTCTACAAACCCTAATATCTATCTTCTTCTATATTTCTCTCTACAAATAAAGAAGGTTATGTAAATTTTTCTATTGTTTTTTTTAGCAATACAAGTATAGATTTAGAAATAGAGTTATATCTTATTTCGATTGAATTATTTTCTATAGCAGAAAAGGGTTTGATGGAAGTTTATTTTCTTTGATTATATTTATTTTCTAGATGATTAGGTCTAATAGATTTCTGAGGTTGTAGATTATCTAACTTTTGGAACCTTAATTTATTGTTATATAATCATTATCTAAAATAAAAACAAAATATGTTGATCATGAGGAATATGGTAATTATTTCGATGGAAGATTATTTTCTATGCTTATTTTTTCAAGAACATTAGTTCTAAGAGATTTGTTTGATTGTAGATCATATAATCAATACAAACTAATTTAATTGTTAGAAAATCGTTCTCTTATATCTAAACAGTAACTATGAAGGTAGTATTCTCATGTGATTAGACTGAACATTTTATCTTCCTCTTATAAACCGAGAATTTTCTTTTGAACATGCATGAAAACAAGTGAGATGGCAGACAACAGAAATTTCAGAACAACTAATGAGGCTTTCAGGATGGGAAAAATGGAAAGTCAAGAGCATTATAGGGCTTTTCTCGCGCTGTATGATGATCAAACAATGGCCTTGGTTGCCAAGCATGATGAGAATATTGAAGTTAGCCGAATTGAAACCAAGCTGGAGTTAATTGACGTCCTCATTCAGTTGGAAGCCCTGCAGTCTGAGAAAGCAAAGCTTGAAGAGTATCTTAATTTTGCACATGCGAAGGTGGATGATGTACATGGTTCTTAATATCGATTGGTTCAAGCTGGGTGAATCAAATATGTATGATTAATCCTTTGGTTTTCTAAATTTCAAAAACTTGGTCTATTTTATGTTTATGTTTAATCGGTCTCAAGTTTTGAACTCATTATCCGGTTTTTACAACTGGACTAACTTAAGTTATGCAATGATCTAAACATAAACTTATTTTGTTTGAAACAGTCCTTTTAAATCATCCTTTGAGGATGAATTAGATCAAACTTCCTCTCGACAGGGCCGAGAGAGATCTTTTTACATATCCTCCTTCTCAAAGGGGAGAATTCTTCCACCAATTTCCCTCTGTACAAGAGGTGATCCTCTTCCGGTATTCAAAATCCGGAAAAATTACCAATATCCTAGCCGTTTGCTATCTTGTGTGAAGGTCCACCTGGGGCCGGTAGATGCAACGATTCTCATGCGATTGAGAGTTGAGGTTTTGGATGGTGCTTCGACGTCATATGCTATTGTGACTAATCGTTCGTTATTTGAAGATTTTGAAGTGCGGTTCAATAAGATCGCAAGTGGCAACTTTGATATCTTTCATAACATTTTATCAAACTTTTATAAGTTTGTGTCTCTATCCTCGTATTCTATCGTTTTATATGTTTGGGGTTTAGCCTTTTGTTTCGCACATTGTGAGTTGTACGATGTTGCTTTTGGTGTAATCGTTTAGATCATCAATAAAAGACTTTGGTGCACAAAAAAAAAAACTTATTTTGTTTATCCAATAATTTTATTTTTGCATATCTCACATGATTTTTTATACTTTTTGTTGTTGTCATTTTTGCTTGATGCATTATGCTTGCTTTTGGCTTTTTAAATTTGTTTTATTAGTCTATTTTCGGTTAAAATATAGTTTAGGGATTACGTTTGATATTAGTTTAGTTTGAAAGTGTAGTTAAAAAGCTTTGTTCATAGATCAGCTTTTTAATTAATGATTGGATAGTCTAAGGTTTTGATACAATTATAATTTAGCAGAGTAGTTGTTGAAGCTCTGATCTATAGAAATATTCGATGTTTCTCTTCGTAACAATTGATTGAAAGAAATATATTCATTATAATAGTATAGATATTTTAAATATATTTTTCTAATATATTTAATCCGTTATTAGTCAAATTTTCAGAATATTTTTTAGAAATCGTATTTAACAAAGTTATTTAGGTTACTGGTGTATGTAATGATGATAATTTTGAAAATATTATACTTATTTTTGTGATATCATTGAAGAATATTTAAATTTTCTTTGGTAATATAAATTAGTTCCCATACTCCCTCCGTTTCATATTAAGGGTCGTTGTAGATAATTTTTTGTGTTACAAAATAAGTGTTGTTTTCAGTTTTCAATGCAAAATTTATTAATTTTATTTTGTAATTAGTTTTTCTATTGGTTAACATAGGGTTAGGTGTATAGATAATTATGTTTTTATATAAGAAATATGTAAAATTAATTATTTTCTTAATCCGTATGCACAACTGTAGAATGACACTTATAATGAAATAGAGAATACTTAAGATCTTTTGATATCCAATGCAATCATTATTTCCCAAATATTAGCATGTGATTACAACCACATATTTCTAACATTCTAAAAATCCTTTGTCAACAAATCGAATCTAAGAAGTTGTTTACGCCGATGTTTGTAATAATGATAGTTTTGAACTTAATTGAAGAGTTATGTGACACAATTTAAATATATTTATAATTTCATATTAATATGTTATAATTTCTATGTTATGCACCGTTTCGTGTAATTAATTAGTTCAATCACTAATTTGTATCAGGAAAATTTGAATATCGTAAGAAATTTTATTATTATTTTTTAAAAAAAATCATAAACTAACAAATAACCACATGAAGTAATTATCTTACTGTCAAAATGTAAAAAATCTCAAAATAAGATATAACGACGAAAAATAATAAAACGATTAGGACTTTTAAGAATTGGTAATATATTTAAGACATGTCTTAGAGCATCTCCAAAAAGACTCTCTATTATAGAGTTTGCAAAACTCTATATTTGAAGTTTGAAGGTGTTATACTCCAAAAGCAAAACTTCAAACCTAATTTTAAAACTATTAGTATTTTATATAATGGTCCTTATATTTGTTATAACTAATTCAAATTCATAAACTTTAATAAATAACTATCATGTATAAAATTATTATAGAAATATCACTTGAGAAAATGTTACGCTAAAATATAAAACTATAAATAGAAATATATAATCAAATATTAAAGTACAAACAAAATACCACATTATATCATGTAATATTGTTGTTGTCTACTTCTAGTTTTAAAATATTTTAAAGATTATTTTGATGCTTTTTTTAAATAGAAAATTTAAATTTATAAAAATAATTTTGAATTATTTAAGAAATAATAATTGTAAGGATTAAAATGATAAATAATAAATATTTAAGATTA